CCACAGCCACAGCCACAGCCACAGCCACAGCCACAGCCACAGCCACACAGCCACACCCTCCCACACCCACACTCACACGCACACCCACATCCTTTCACAAGATAACGTTGATAGCAACTGTGCATAATCAAGTCATCAACTAGATTGAAGTGATTTAATATTCTTTTCTGAAAATGATGATCAAATCTGAAAGGTGATCTGTTATAGATCTTTGATAACGAATGATTTATTAGGTTTATTCATAAAAACGCGGATAAACGATTTCTATGGGCAGCATGCTGTTTCTTTCAAGTGATGCTCGAATATATGCTATTTATGCATATCAAGGAGAAGTTGGGGCGCTGATAGTTGTCGTTAACGAACAGTGTACTACGTATACAACCACCACCAAATAATGAACAATGGTCAAAGTCGTTTACTCGAAACCCATGAGATTTTAAGAGATTCGTTACGTTCGCCATCTGTGCGTTATTTTCGATAAGAAAATAATGCACTTGTATGTTCCAATCCATTGTAAGTAGCACTGACAACTCGCTTCCTTCAACATCAAGACTGAAGAAATCAATATGAGTTATTCCAATTGCGGTTAAATATGAACCGATCGGGCCACATGATACATTTATAGTCTTGTCATTATTTCCATGCCATTTGCTTCTTAAATCTGGATCCATGGTATCGATGTTTCCAGCGACATAACCGGGTCCTCCCTTCAATAAACAACAAAGATAGCAGCTCTGAAAAATAGTCTGTATTGTGGAAACTTACGAGCATTCGAATGTAGGTTCGTGGAGGAGAACATATTCCGATAGGCAACTTCACCGTTTTTCTTCGATCTGCTTTTAGCAGCTGTTTAGCATTTTCTGGCTGAGCTTCGATAAGTACTCCACGCCAATCAAACATCCGCTCGAAAAACAGCGTATTACTACCAGCTAATCCATCTAATGCGCCTAGTTCGACAAATATGCCCGGATTCTCATTTTGTTTTGTGTTATTGAAGATCCATTTGTGTAATGCTTTATCTTCACTAAATTGTGAATAATAATCTGGTTTGCCTTTGAAATTTGGAGACTGGCAGGCCCATATTTGTGGAAACAAATAACGAAGATAGTTCGTAGCCAAATTAGTTGTTACTTGTTGTGTATTAGTTGGCGTGGGAGTAGGATATGCCAAATTATTTTGTTGTAGTTTAAACTCATAACCTATATTTGGTCTTTTGAAAGTCCATGTTATAAGTACTAAGATTGTTATAATTGAGCACAAGATATAGAATAAGTTCACTATTGTCAAACGCATCAGAGACGTCTCTAGAAAAGTATTGAATATTTTTAACCGACCATAATAGTTTTCATAACTTCGGTTCTTTTTTTGTAAACTCACATGTACAGTAGTCGCAAAAGATGAGGTGTGTGTGGGTGTAGGTATGGCTGCAAACAAGATCGATATCTAGACCCACGCACACTCTCCATATCTAACTAACATCCACACCCACACCCTCGCGCCCAGATAAAAACTATGTAATCTTAACCGGGTGCGGTCAAATTTTCTCCATACGTAGAGCTCAGCCAACTCAGATCGCTGGTACTCACATGGCATGGATTGATTCATGTATCTCGAGTTGTTAGTTTAACAGTATCGTCTACTTCTGAACATCGTATCTCCATTATTTTTGAATGCCTGATTTTGCGTCACTCCTCAGTCGAAAATTCAGTGTCGAAGCAATCTGTGACAAAAATTCAGTGCAAATTTACTTTTATTTTGATCGAAATATGATCTTCGTAATAAAAACATGTGCCAAGTGGTTTGTCTTAGGCTTCAATTTGATGTCAATGACTCCGCTTCATTTGGCTCGATTCGTCTGAAAATCTGAGTCAAGACTTTTCATGACTCTAACAGTTAGTGATAAAACTTTCAGAGTGACACCTCAAACTAGAATCGAAAGAGAACTAGGAAAAGAGCTCATAAGAGCGTAGATTAGCAATCAATGGGATCTCGATATTACATTATTGACCGTTAACTTTGTAAACTAGACACAGAGAGCTGCTTTTATTTACACTAAAAATAACTTAAATAGATTGTAATACAATAAAATGACAACGAAATATCTTCTAAAGTCGTATTTTTTTTGAATTTCGTTCGATTTATTCAAGAAACCGTCAGCGATGTTTATATGTATCAGAGACTCTCATACACGAGCCGTTTGAGTTTTGACATTGGGCAACACTCTTTTTCATGTCTGAGCAGTTCAACCACGTTATTTGTGCTGCTAATGCTTCAACGAGAGTAGTTTGTAAACGGAAGGATATGAGCCTGATTTTAAAAATATTATTGAATGAGCACAGTGTCTCCGCATGAAAACTAGGTATTTGCTTAAATAGATCGAACGAAATCCAAAAAAAATCATGTATGCCAAACCTGAAACTTGAATTCAACTGAAATTTCAAGTTTCAACTTTTAACTTTCAAACCGCCATCACTTCGAAGAATCACGACTCACAAAGTCACACACATATCATCGCAGCAGGTAAGGATGCGGACAAAGGAGTTTCATGAAGCACGACTAACACACAATCACACACACACACACACACACACACATCATCGTAGCAAGTGAGGGTATTGCTGAAGTATCTTGAAACTTGAAACTTGAAATTTCAATTGAATCCAAATTTCAATTGAATCCCAATTTCAAGTTTGACACTACTGGAAATGTTAGACCTCGATGCTTTTATGAATACCCACTATATGCCTGGCTTTGGAAGTCCGAACCTTTCTCTGGAGGAAAGTGCATAGTTAGCAAAAATAGGTCCTAAAGATGCCTTTGTAATTAGGTCCAGGAATTAACTACAAACTTTCCAGTTTCACCATTGGATAGGAAACTGTTTAACAGTTCTAAACCACTAATAATCGTTGAAAGCTCATTCAGGTTGCATAGAGACATTTGAGCCCAAAAAATAATGGCAAAAATGTGTTTTTTTTCATAGTGAGCTCCCAAAAACTGACACACGAAGAAGTGTCCATTACTAAAACTGATCATCATAACTGGTCGTATTTATCAGTAGATTCTCAGACTTTCATCATTTGAAATAGAGTATCTAGCTTCAATCCAGCTTGTCAAGGTAGAAGTGACCTAGCCCACCGTGTTCGGACCCCTTCGCATGGTTTTCAGTTTGCTTTTTTGGATCTGCCGCTATGCTTATTCACATGAGTCCTACAAACTTAAACAGTTTCATTCCATTTGGAGATGGTCACTGTTAACTCTAGCATATGTTTTAAAAAATCATTCATTGACAATTATTGCTTCACATGCTTGATGCGAAGAGTTCCGTAACAATAATTAGTATCTGCCATTCATTTCATACAGAGCTTGCCAGGATTTTTTTCCGCACGAAAATACTTACTATTATACGAAAACAATGCTGCACATGCTTAATCGTACTACTTAAGAGAGAGTCCGCGAGAGAGCTACCCTACTCTCTCAGAGAGGCGCCGGGAAAAAATTTTTTTTTTCAATTTTATTTTCTTAAATGATAAGTCTAGTCAATTTATTATTAAATCCAAAATATTAAGTCATTTGGATGTTTCTATGAAAAATGGCAGCAAAAACAAGTTTAATGGGTCTGTTTTGACCGGGTTACGGCCACTTGCCTGCTAGACAGTTGCCTGCCGGACAGATGCCCGCGAGACACATGTTCTGCGGGCAAGTGGTCTAGATTCGTTTTAACCCTATAGAATTTGCAGCAGAGGTTGTGCTCAGTGTGTTGAGGTTTTCTCAAGAATGGCTTGATTGTTTCAGCTAGCGAACATCTCATTTGATAGAAAACTGCTTGGGCTACATTTCTATCTTATTTTAACGGGTGATGCAAAAGTTTTTGCACAAATGTCCCTCCATTTTTCATCTACTAAAAGACGTTTTGGAAAAATGAAAAATATCTATTCATAATCCACATCGAAAGAGCTTTCTAACTGTGTGTTCAATTTTTTTTAATCATGTCTTGCCTCTGAGTACCAATCACATCTTTGGATGGCAGTAAAAAGTAGCTTGTGAAGATCAGATAATGGGCCTGTTCCTAAGCATATGCCAATCCGTGTTTTTTTACCAAAGACTCTTTTAGAAAAAACAAAAATAGCTTTTCATGTTCTACATTTGAAGAGGTTTCTCACTACACACTAAAAACTTTTTAATTGTACTTTTGTGAGGAAGGTTGATAAGTTTGTAGTCATTTTGAATTCTCTTCCTAAATAATGATTTAGTTAATTTAATATAGTATTATTTTTATTTTTATTTAAATCATGTGACATTTCGTTGTAGTGTACAACTTCTTCAGACATAAATTATATAATACAAAAATACAAATAACAATATATATATTGAACACACATATATAAAATACATTTTTAAAGAAAGAAAGAAAAGAAAAAGAAAAACAAGTGTAAAACATAGACTAGTCCATTCGTTTTATTTAATAGTGACACGGAAACAAGACGGTAACAGTAACATTCTGGATTGATGCATTCATTTCCGTATCACTATTAAATAAAACGAATGGACCAGTCTATGTTTTACACTTGTTTTTCTTTTTCTTTTCTTTCTTTCTTTAAAAATGTATTTTATATATGTGTGTTCAATATATATATTGTTATTTGTATTTTTGTATTATATAATTTATGTCTGAAGAAGTTGTACACTACAACGAAATGTCACATGATTTAAATAAAAATAAAAATAATACTATATTAAATTAACTAAATCATTATTTAGGAAGAGAATTCAAAATGACTATAAAAACTTTTTAATCGGCCCTGACTTCCGAGCAGTGGTCGAATCTTTAGAACATACAAAAATTTGATCTGAACAGGGAAGAGAGCTTTTCCTTTCGGATAAGCGTAGAACTACTAAGTTGTTACTAGAACTATTTTGGACTATGGACGCTTGTAGAGCAGACAATTCTCTAGAAAACGACGTTTTGAAACAGGTTATATCATAAATGAAATCGAATTTATCGTCATTTCTCCGAACACTATGTTGATTTCGCTGGAAACACTATTTCTCAAAACAAAACCTAGGCTTTGAATAATTTAAACATTTGCTCGGTTGATGCTATAAAAAAATAATCAACAACACCTCATTTTGTTGAGAAAAGTCTGTTCTCTAATCTGTCAGGCAAGTCACAGTTTGATCTTTCAACAAAAGTTGTTTTCGTCAAAGTTTGAAAGAATGTACGAACTGTTTTCTTCTTTACAAACTACCGTTTAATGCCATTCAAAGATGAGCTTGTTATTCAAAGATAAAGCCTGATAATAAAATTTTGAACACACAGTTAGAAAGCTCTTTCGACGTAGATTATGAATAGATATTTTCCATATTTCCGAAACGTCTTTTAGTAGAAGAAAAATGGAGGGACATTTGTATAAAAACTTTTGCATCACCCGTTAGTAACTTATATATGGAATAAAAAATTCTATGCAGGTCAAAAACCGTCTAAAACATGACATATGACCTCTTGTCGAAATGACAGTATTTTGAGCTTTTCCCGTGCTGTGCATGAGATGCTGAAATGATCTTTTTATCAAGCATAGATCTAAGTAAGATACATCTCCTGACATGAAATTGCTCCAGAAAAAAAACTGGGGGGTCAAGTTAGCATGGACCACACTATGGGCAACTTTACCAAGGGGCTATTGATGTTACCCTTCGAAGTCATACAATTTCTTTAGAAATCACGTAAACTGACTTCAGATTCAAGTTCAGCTCGCAAAACTGCGTTAGAGAAGTTATTTTAAATTGATTTCTTACTTGTATCCAGCGTGTTCAAGATCATGGGTCCACCACCTGGGTATATGATAGATGAATGGACTGGTGTTTTGACAATAATTCACCAATATTAGTAGCTATCGAGTTCGGGTTTTTGCCACACGATAGCCCTTCTCGAAGGTGACAAAACTGTATATTTTTCAAATTCAAAAATTACTGATCAATTGTGACATGTCTAGCCACATTGGTCTGGGACCCCGGCTTTATACATTTGAGCCCCCAATTTAGCCAGTTTTTATTTAAAAAACAACGATTTCAATCAACACCAATATCATATTCGAAACCAGTGTTACAAACTGAGTCAATTCATGTATGTTTTAACTATTTTTCAGAAAATGTTTTTTTCCTATAAAAAGATGACCCTGTACTCCCCCTCAGGGTTCATGAAAAAATGATTTCTCTGAAAAACGCCATTTATTGTGCGGAACGAAATAGTCAACCTTCTCTAATTTCGACAAATGCAAAATGCCACATGACTAAAC